TGACTCTTCCTGACCACAATAATCTTTCTTACAACCTACAGAGCAGCTATTACTATTACAAAAGTAAATATCTTAACATTTGATAAAGTTCAGTCTTTTATCATCCTAATTTTTTAAAATAATTTTTAGCTCTTATCTCATTAAGATTCTTGAGAGCAGACTGTATTACACATTTTCATTGTAATTCCAAGAGTGTCTGACCGGCCGCCAAGTATATAGTAAGCCTTGATTTGGCAATACCACCTTTTCTATGTGTGCAAGTAATTCTTAAATTACTAACACTGCTTTCTGCCTTTAAAACATCATAAATGAATTCTCTCAAAAAAATATCTAAATGATTTGTCAAAGGCTCATCCTCTATGTAAGGAGACTATTATATAGAGTAGGGGCTGTACCACATTTATTTGTTATAATACCTTGGGCATATAGTTTAACTTCTTCTAAACCCTAAATTTTTCTTTAAAACAGAAATAATTCTCAGGTTGATGTGAAAAGTGAGATAATAAAGCGTTCAGCACTGGGTCTGACATGTAATTCTTAATAAATATCAGCTGTATTTCCTGATTAAACAAAATGTAGAGAGTAAACTTTTTCCAGAATTTCAATTTAAGCAAAGTGACAAGGAAATAAGCTAGGAATTCACATATCCACATATACATACACACACATATATGTATATATACACATATGTACATATATATACATATATATATGTATCTCAAATCTGAAAGATTTCCACAAGAATGGTTTCTCTATTTCATTAAATCAAATGCATAAGGCTAGGATTTATAACAATATTTTAAACAAGAAGAGAATTAACCTTATTAACAAAAACAAAGAAACGTGCATAGTTCTGATAAGGGGCTCAGGAATGCCCAGTGTAATAGAACACAGGGCTTCAAAACAGAAAAGCTCAAGTCCAAATAGCAACTCTTACCACCTGCTAACTACAGCCACTAAAAGGTAATTTAAATTTCTCTAATCCTGTTTGCTCACTTGTAAAATGGGGTAAAAATGACAGTCACAAAACTAAATAAGATAAATAAAAATCCTGACCAGCAGTCCTCCACTAGTGGAGCTTCCCATTCTGTGCTTAAAAATAAATTTCTCAACTGTGTTTTACAATTAGGCTGTAAAGTTCATTAGATTACATATATATACACAACCCAAAGTCAATATTTCAACACAAAATGTGCATGCAGGGAAAGAGACTGGTGGGAAAGGAAAGCAGAAAGATTTTAGGTAAGTCTAAGTAAGAAAGTGACTTTAATTCCCATCACCCAGATATGCCATCCCCCGACCCATCTCCCTTTCTGCAACCCTCACTGGGTGTTATATTAAACTAATGAATAACTGAACATAATATCAAAAACTAATGATGTACTGTACCTTGGCTAATTGAATTTAAACTTAAAAAAAAAAAGATGCTAAAAAAAAGTGACTTCTCAACAGGAAGGAGCCTGTTACACTTACTTCAAAGGGCATGCAAAACATGACCCCTAAAGGAATAAGAATTTCAGTGTTTTTTGGTAACAAGATACTACAAATGTTTCTGCCCTTGGAGATGGGTGGAGAAATAGTGTTATTATTAAATATTATGCTCAGAATTCACATAGGAAACATGAACTTCCCATGTATGTTTTCCCCCACCCACTCAGCCCTTCCCCATTGGTTCTCAAAGATCATCCTATCGATACTAATTGCTAGAATGTGACCACAGTATGAATTATATAAGCTCCCCATCCACTGACTCCAACAAAATATTTATGCTTACATTTTAAAATTATGCTAGGAAGCTTAAGTCGATTACGGAAATTCCTGAATTCATTCTAAATCTGAATATATCTAGATACCAATATATAGTTCTACAATGAGGCCGTATTAACCTCTGCTATCATAATGGAAATAATTTACCAAAGCAGTACTGATCAGGTAAAAAAGAAAGACATAAAGGGGAAAAGGAAATTTAACAATGTAAAGTTCTGTAATCAAGCTATAGCATAAAATGTATATAAGGAGTTCCTTTATTTGGCGTGAACGCTGAAGAAATGAGTGAAAACATGCAAAAAATCCTCTTAAATTCGCAAGTGTAACAATGTTATAAAATAGCTTTTGAAAAAAAAGTTTCCCTCACCACTGGTAGCAGATTTGAGTTCCTTAATTAGTTCTAAAGCAACCAGTTCTATCAATGAAAATCTCTACCCAAATTTTTTTTCTACAGTACTATTCTAATGCAAACCAAAAGTATAGATATGATATCATTCAGTATTAAAGAAATAGTTCTTTTTAAATTCTTTTCAAAAGGAGTTATTTTCTTTTATGCCCTGAGCTTAGGTGATTCTTTATCTTATGTTGAGATAAAGGATCTTTGCTGGAGGATCTCTAACTTTAAGTCTGGGGATTAAGCCGCATGTTTCCTAACTCCTATAGCTTTTCTTATCGAAGAACATCAAGTTTCCTAGATGGCCACTTTTTTCAGTCATCTTTTTCCTAACTTATATAATGGAATGAGCAACCAGGTTCAAGTTATAGCTTTTCACTTATATTAAGTGGGTAATTGTAATTATAGACCAAATAGATGAATGCATTCTCTAAAGCACAAAGAAACACACAAATTATAGGCGCACAATTTGCATCTGGGGATCACAGTACTCTGCAACATAAAACTCCCTATGAAGGCCTTCCTTAAATACGCTTATTGCAGGCCCAATCTCAACGAGCTATCTTCTATGTGCTAATAAAGCTGCAGGTGTGACTTTCCAGGAGTTGCATTAATAGGCAACACAAAAGACCAAAAAACTTTTGAAGACCAAAATAAATGGAGCTCTGACAGATGTTAAAAAAGGTGAGAGGCAATGGGGAATCCTAATCAGTTCCATTTAAATCATGAGTGTCCAGATAACTACCTCACCTTTGTGAGGTAAAACTAATGCAATAAAGTAAAATGTAATAATGTAGTAATAACTGAAAATATTAAAACAAAAATAATCCTAAGTATAGATTGAACCCCTCCTGCACCTCCTGGTTACTCAGCATGTGTTTCAAATTCAGGGTGTACCTATCAGAAGGAGGTCACTTAAGGACAGTTAACCTCAATGAAATACCTAGTATACTAACTCAAAAATAACCAGAACTGATTTCAAAAGAGGAAAAATAGAATGAGGAAAAAGTAACATCCTACTTGTTACCCTGTTACTTATTAGGATTACAATTATCTACACTAATTTTATTAACAACCCAATAGTTTCTAAAACATAAAATATTAATTATGTAGCAGTATTTTTCACTTTAACAAAATGCACTTGAAAATTCCTTCTCACTGGGGCCAAATCTAATTTTAAAACTGACCCTAAGCATGAAACTACTCACCAATTAGACTGAGAGAGAGGGAAAAAAATACTGGCTCAAGGAAATTAGGATAAAAAAATAATAACTTTAATAAGCTGTCCATCAAAACAATACATTTGGAAGTTCTAAGGCTAAAGTAGGCTGGTGTTTCCCAAAAGAAAATGTTAATAAATCAGTTGTTTCCACATGCATGGCTGGGATTTTAGAAACTGTCACACTGACAGAAGTTCTGAGCATGAAGATTAGAGCTGTTTTACAGAGAGCAAATGGAATTAGGAGCATACACAATCCTTTAGACAACAAAAGTTTGCTGAATAATAAAAGGAGGGAAAATAGGCTGATACTCTACCTCTCACAACCCACGCCCCCCCCCACTGGATTATGTTGGGAATTAGAAATGTAAAAATATATACGCACAGGACACACACACACACACACACACCACACACACACACACACTCCTAACATTGTAACATAAAGAAGTCATTCCACATTAAAATATAGACAGTATTTTCTATGAAAATACAAAGTGTGCCAAACTCTAAAATGCCTATTTATACACTTTAACGCCAGTCTACATGTTAAAAGGCTACGCTACAGATCTGGTAACTCCTTGAAAAGCAACCACGTCCCTTTATAGTTCTGTACCTTCCTTCTCAATCTGAGATACCTTCACAGAATGAACACACACAAATTATTCTCCTCGGTGCTTCCCTTCCTCCTTCCCCGCGAAACACTAATACATATATTTTTAAATTCACATAAACTGGTAACTAGCACCACTAACTCAATCTATTTGAAATATGCTTAATTTTTAAAGTTCTAATAAGATGTGTTCAGGTTGGAAACGAAAAACTACCTTATAAGGGTATAAAAGGCCGAAAGCAGGAAGCGGCTTTGACAAAACTAAGGAAGTTGCAGCGCGCTTGCTCACTGGGGGACTTTTTTGAGGCAAGAGAAGTAACACATGACATCTTTCTCTCTCAAATTAAAATGTGACTTGGTTCACCGGTAAAAGCGCAGTAGGAGATGGAAAAGACCCGGAGTCGGAAAGGAAGAAGAGGTGGGTGGTCAAATAAAAGCCCCGACTAGGTTCCCATTTTCAGAGTCCGATTCTTCCCTTTCCCCACCCACACCCTGGGCAGAGTGTTGTCACAGCAATCTTGCAAAACCTACAAGGACCGCTTCTCTTTTCTCGCTCCTCTGCCAGGCTGTCCCCGCGCTCGATCCACTCGGTCCCCAAATTCACGGGCAGGAAGGGACGTGGAGGAAAAGGAGAGCCGGGTGCGCCGGGTCGGCGACCACCCCGACCGCACCGTGGGCCCCGGTGGGGCGACTGGCCCCACGTCTCCTTGGGCGGCGCTGCCCACCGCGATGGGGGAAGGGCCGGGAGGGGTTGCGCGGAGCAAGCCGCTCCCAGGGGGTTTCTCGGCCCCGCGCCCCCGCCCCGGTCCCAACGGGTGAAACGAGGCAACAAGGGAGGCCCTGGCTCCGGGCCCCACCCCTGGCAACACAGAGCGGCTAAACTGACACGGCCGGCGGCAGCACCTTACCGCAGCACACATCTCCCGACCTCTACCCTCCCCCGCCATTTTCCCATCTCCGCCTCAGTTTCCCCCCCCCCCCCCCCCCCCGTCCGTCAGCCCCCTTACCCCGTGCCACAGTCCACCACACAGGCCGGCAGCCGTCCCGCCATCTTCCTCGCCTGCTACTGCCGCTGCCGCCGTCTGCTCCGTGCTGATTGGGGCCAGGGATTAGCGGCGGGAGATCGGAGCTATCTGACCATCCACAGCAGGGTCGCCCTCTCCGTCCAGGGGGGAGCCGGGAAGCCGAAGCAGTAGCGAGAAAGCAGCAGGCTCGGTCAGCGGCTACCACTTCCGCAACCCAGGCGGGCAGGCAGTCCCCGCCCTGCCCCGCCGCGGCCTCCTCCCCCTCTCTCTCCCCTCCTCCTCCCTCCTGCCCCCACCCTACAACTTCTTCCCCCACGCCGCCTTGCCCCGGGAAGCCAAGATGGCCGCCGGTGCCGCCGCCCCGGCCAGGCCAGGCCCAGGCCGCGAGCGCTCCCCCTTCCGGCTCCGAGCGGGAGGGGCGAGAGAGCATGCGCAATGACGTGCTGCCGGCGGCCGCCCCTCGCGTCCCGACGTTAAGGAAGTCCACTTCGGGTTTTCCCAGAGGGTAGGGGCGGGGAAATCGGCCCGAGCCTCCGGTTCTCCAGAAGCTGGTAGGGCTTTTTAGTTTCAATTACTTCTGTGCTAGGTTGAGAAGGGGAATGGAACTGTCTCCCGCAGCCGTGAATATCTTCTCCAGTGCCCCGGGGAAAACTGGCCTAATAGAAAACGTTCTCAGCGGCACACAACACTCTTGTAACTTGAAGAGTCTGCTTTTCTGAGTGGAAAAGAGCGATATCAGACCGAGGGTGAGCAGTCGGGAGGGATGGGTGAACAAAGGCTTGCAACGTAGCTCTTCTGCCTTCGTGCGGAGTTTTTAGTCATTTACACCTGTGCATTGTTACAACATTGCACATAACAAGTGTTAAAACATTGTCTAGATTGCAGGCCCCCCAGGGGCAGGCCTGTACCCACGAGGAAAACAAACCTCCTGGGGGTACGTTCTACATAATGTACCCTACACCAATAGGCCGTTATTCAAGGCTTTTGGATGATGACAGAGATTCCATCTGCGGTAGTTTAAGATTCTACTATTTTACCAGGAGGATTATACCAAGAATTAAGGACAAAAAAAATTAACTAGGAAAAAAAGGCTAAAAACTGGAGAGCCTAGAACAATGGTTTCCAGACGTAAATGTGCATCAGAATTACCTGGAAGGCTTGTTAAAACAGGTTGCTGGGCCACATCCCCAGTGTTTTCTGTTTAGGTGGTCCGGAGAAGGGCCTGGTAATTTGCATTTACAACAACTTCTCAGGTGATGGTGTGGGACCCCACCTGGGGAATCTAGAAGTTTAACAGCTTTCCCCCAGGCTGATCTTCTGATAAATCATCAATTTGCTTATATGGCTGAAATAAAAAATATTTTCCCTAAGAAAGGATGTCTTATTCACAACAGAAGATAACAGTTGTTAGACTGGGCTGCGGTATGGAAAGTGGGTTTTTCATTCATTTGACATAAGTATTGCTCACCTACTCAGTTATGGCAGGGACCGTACTGCCCCAGAATAGTCACTGGGCACAAAATAGATTAGGTCCTTGCTCTTAAGAGTTCTCAGTTTAGTGGGAAAACATAAATTGTGTTAAAAGCAGTCGCAGAGAGCAGGGGGCTATGAGAAATGGGGAATAAGGGTGGGAGAATGGGAGAGAAGTGGAATATAGGTAAGTCTTCTCTGACAAAGTGACATTTTAAAGGTGAGGTGGGAGATAGAGGAAAGGGTGAGGAGGAAGGGGAGCCCTCCAGAACAGGGAACAGCAAGAGTCAAGGACCTGAGGTGGGAAAGAGCTTGGCTTCTTTCACAAATTCAAAGAAGACCCAAATGGTCAAAGTGATGTGAGCCGGGGAAGATGCAATAGGAGGTGGAGCCGGGGAGATAAGTAAGAATCAAACTGCAAGGATCTGTATACTTCTCCACGAATCTTAAAAGTTTAGCCTAAAAGCAGCCTGAAAGCCATCAAAGAGATTTAAGCCAGGAAATGTGACTGCTTTGTAGGGAATGGACCCCACAAAGTAAAGAGTAAAGTGAATGGTCTTATAATACATCGTGTGCTATAAATCAGGGATAGAATTATGTTTGCAGTAACATCCAGATGGGATCAAATATGTGCAGAAGAGACAACTTAGGGGAATCATCATTACCAACTAGAGCCCAGCACATCCACAGCTACTCACAGAAAATAGATAAAAATCCTCCAGGGATGCTTTTCTCAGTGACTGTCTAACAAGAAGTCATGCAGAAGTGGTTCTCTGTTCAGATGCATAGTTGTTTTTTTCCCTACATTTTAGAAGATACTAAGTGGGGATTCCTTGCTGCCTTTTACAACATCAGATATTTATGGTCATTTGGGAGAAAAGATGCCTGAAGATCAGCTGTGACAGAAAAGGGACATATGGGTTGGTTGGGGTAAATAGTTGTTTCCAGCATTACCAGTAGTAAGTCGGAGTGAAAGGATCTTAGCAAAGGGGTCCCAAGAACAGAGGTTAGGAACTTGAACAGGTCGCTCAGGGAAACCCACACTGGTGGATCCTCAAGATGGCTGCTCACACACAGGTTTTGTGTGGGTTGTCACAGAAGTAGTTACATCAACGGTCAAGAACTGGAATGCTCCCAGGGTCCAAGCAAGTGCCATTATGACTGAAGGGAACCCTAAGGAATTTTGGCAATATGGAGAGTCCACATCCCCAGCAAAGGCAGTAGAAAACTCTTGCTATGCAGAGATGTAGACCCAGTGTTGCCTGAGCTTCCCTTTGTTCCAGAAAAATTGAACATCTGTATTTTTATCTGTTGGGAACTAATTCTCTGCAGGCTATATCTGACCTGCGGGCTACCAGTTTTCAACTTTTGATTTAGGAAGCTGTTTAACATTTACATGTATATTGCATTCCAATATGCAGCTCAGGTCAGTGCTAGATACTATATCTCATTGGCATGAGGAAACCTTCTAGGAGTCTCTTTCATGTAGTCAAGTCTGCCCTTTGTAAAGAATGTGACTGTTAGAAACCTTTGGAAGCTTCTAACACTCAGAAAAATGATTTGTGCTTATTCCTCATAATTTGTCTACTCAAACACTTTGCTTGCTTAAGACCCCTCCTACTTCCTACTTGCTAGTGCCAAAATTGGTGAACCTCTGTAGTGCTGCTGTGATTCAGCCTTCCTCAGCAGCATGCAGCCTTCAGATGCACATCTAGCCGGAGCACGTCTGACCACCCTGTTTGTATATGTACCCTTCCTCCAAATACAGAGAAGCAGAGGATGTCGGAGCTAGAAGAGCTCACAAAGATGATCTTGTTAGACATGAAAAGGAAAGCAGTGGTGGATGGGTGGGGTTTGCTTGACTGCCCCATATCCATTCTTCCCTAATAGCACCCCGATTTCTTTTTAGTTCAGATCAACCAGGTGCTTGTCACTTTCTAAGCCTGGTCCCCAACATTTCAAACATTTGTGAGTCTTATAATATTCTCCCAAGAAAGCTCCTTTTGCTTACGTTGGTAGTAATCAGCTTTCATTACTTACATCAAATTTAAGAATACTAAGTGATACAGAAGCCCAGAGAATGCAAGTGACTTTCCCAGTATCTTAGAGAAACTAGGAAACAGGACCCAGACCAAAGCCCAGCTCTTTTCGGGGCTCTTTAGTTGTAATGTCACAGCATTGTTTAATTTTGACTGATATGCTGGTTACCAGTTACTGTGAGATTTCCTAGGTTATTTGTGCTTTAAGGCCAACTTAGCCAATGTCTCTGGATTTTAAATGTCCAAGAAATTCATATATCCCTCAATCTCCATTATTTTAAAATGGGAAATGTTATTATTTTTAAATCAACATAATTTCTACAAGAATGACTATTTGCAAATTAGCAGACCAATCAGATCCACAGAGAGTATTGATTAAGGGCAGGTAGATAAATGATCAAGCTGTCCGTGCAGCCTAGTGGTTAGAGGGAGTGGCTGTGAAACTTGGCTTCTCCCTACTCCAGTTGTGTGATCTTAGTCAACTAACTTAGTGTGTAGAGACAGCACTGAACTTAGAATCAAGAGACTTGAGGGTGGGGGAGCCTGGGTAGCTCAGTTGGTTAAGCGTCTGACTCTTGGTTTTGGCTCAGGTCGTGATCTCAGGGTCATGAGATCAAGCCTTTGTCCAGCTCAACGTTCAACATGGAGTCTGCTTGAGATTCTCTCTCCCTCTCCCTCTGACCCTCCTGCTCATGCACTCGCGCTCTCTCTCAAATAAATAAATAAATAAATAAAATCTTAAAAAAAGAGTCTTGAGTGTGAATTCTTTAATCTATTGTCATCTGTAAATTTGCAGAAATAACTAACCTATGGGGTTGTTGTAAAGCTTGAATTTTAAGGAAGCATAAGTTACAGAATGATCTTATGGACAGATCAAGAGGACTGTGGTTTAATTATAAAGTAATGACTCTTTTACTTATTACCTAAACATACAGACTTAAACATCCAAAAATGTGTCCTCCTCATCACAGAAGTTATCTTGGGGCCTATGGGTTTACTCGTTTAATACTACCATTGTGCAGAATATTTTTAGAAGGTCTCTTACAGACTTGCCTTCAGAGCCCATGGCACATTCTCTTAAATGTCTCCGTTGGTGGCAAATCTTGGCCTTTTGTGGGTAGATTTGATTTTTGGAATTGGTCTAAAGTCACTTTTTTCAGAGCCCAAGTCCAATGAATAAAATGGCTGATTAACAAGAGCTCTGTTTTTTGATCAACAGCTTTGTGTGACTATAAAGTAATAAAACTGGTTTTCATAAGTGACTTACCAGCTGCTGCTGCCCGTGAACTTCTAAAAAGAAGTTCTGGAAGGATTTTACTCAATGGCCACATCCCTGGGATAAAAAATGTTATACTCATTATATGCTTGATTTCAATTGAAAATATATTTCATATAGTAATAATATCTGTACAGTGTTTGAAATGAGGTGAGATGCTGTGGGATCTATCACTGTCTCGTTTCCCTCACCACTACAAAAAATGAATAATTTATTTAACATGTAAATCAATATGAAAGAAAATACAGGTTAGATTCCCAACCGCCGCCCACCCACACACATCATATTACATATAAACACAAGTTCCAGATGGACTACAAATCTGCAGTATAGAGTAAAATCCATATTCCTCGTGGTAGTCTGCTAAGCCCATCGTATTCTGGTGCCTGCCTCCCTTTCCAACTTCTGCTGTCCCTCATGAGTTAGCCACATCAGCCTTCTTGCTCTTCTTCACACACACCGAGGCCATCTCTACCTGCATCTTTTCCTTGGACTTCTGCCCTAATCATTAGTTATTGCAGAATCCATTTAAATCTTACTTGCTCAGGACAG